AGAAGATGTGTTGTCTTGAATTTGAATATCAGAATTTCTACTCAACAACTTTGTGACACTGAGTAAGTTTTGTTTTGTATGCTCTCTCTTATTTGTGAAATGAGAGATTTAGACCAGATATGTCTCTTAAAGTTAAAAAAAAATTTTTTTTCTGTTGGATTTAGTTGTTGGAAAATGGCAACATTTTTCATTGGAAAATATTTTTTTGAAAAGTAAGAACATTTATAAGCTTATAAATGAGATCATCAGTGAACACTTTGGTTTTCATTCCTCTATGAAACTTAGAAAATTATAAGAAGTTAGATCAAGTAATATTATATAGTACAGTTTGAAGAAGAGAAAGACTGATGGGAGAAAAATGTGTTTGGACTTAAAATAAAAATAATATGAGAGATATTATATAATTACAATCAAAAGGTCTTGGCAGCTGTTTGAATATCAATTCTAAATTGAACAATCACAGGGACCTGATTAAGTTATGACTTTCAATTCTGTATTACTTAGAGAGAGCTTCTAGTGATGTGAATTGTTTCATGTAATTAATCCAGCAAATATATATTGAGTACTTAGTATGTTGTTTTATATATAGGGACATGGTGGTGAACAAAACAAACAAGATTCTGGTTTAAAATCTAAACAATCTCATATGGTTTTCATTCGAGGAAATAGCAGAGGAAGAAGATAAAAAGTAAAGAAGTAAAGACCAGTTAAAATATGTGTTATAAAGAAAATAAAACCAGATTGCTGTGATAGAGAATATCTAGAAGGCTAGGGGAAGCCTGAGGAGGTTACCTTTTGGTTGAGAGCTAAATGATCAAACATGAAGAGCAATACAAGAACAGAAAGCATAAGGAAGAGGTCTAAAATATCAAATGTATGGCTCTACGTATTTTGCGAAATATAAGAAGCCATCCTGACAGGGTCATAGTATGCTAGGGGAACATATTAAAAGGTGTGATGAGAATATAAATATAAATTCAGCACATCAAGTCAATTCCAAAAAACTCATCCATAATCTCTTCTTGGCCATGATATTATGGAAACTTTGCAACACATTGTGTAACATCTCAAGGAACCCTAGTGATGCAAGTGGTTAAGCAATTTGCTTCTACAGGAGAGGTTGACTGTTCAAACCCACCCGGCAGCTCCATGAGAGAAAAAACCTGCTGAAATATTACTACGAGGGTTTCAGTTCATTCCTACACAGAGTTATTTTTTTAAATTGTGGTTTCTGTTTCTGTTTCTGTGATCAGTGGATGGCTAGGCAAGTTTTCTCAGTAAAACACTTGTCTTAGTATTGCTACGGTGCTTAAAAAAAGATACTTTTTGTGCCATGACAATGTGTGTTTTTTTTTAACAAGACTCAAGTGAGCATCTTCCCAAATCATTGAAGTTTTGCCACAGATTTACAGGAATGCTGTCCCACATAAAACAAGAGTTTTTACATGGATTAAGTGTTTAAGGAAGGTCAGGAAGACCTCAAAGATAAGTCAAGAGAGAGAAGACTATCAGCCTCAACAAATGAAGAAACTGTGCCTGAAGTTCAGAAGATGGTAGAAAACGGCCTCAAATTTAGCATTAATGTGATAGCTTTTGAAATTGGATTTTACATGGCTCCGCATTTTTAATTTTAAGCAAGTATCTTCATCTCAGTGAACTTTTGGTTCAATGGGGGCCAAAAGAGATGAGCTAGATCAAAGGGCTGATCTTTCTTTCAGTATTTTAAGCAAGATAGAAACTAATGAAGATGATATTATGGAATGAATTATAATTGAGGAGGAGTCTTGGATTTACCAATATGATACAGAGTGAAAGGTCCAATCAAAACATTGGTTTCCATGGGGCTCTGCTGAGGCAGTTAAACTCAGTGCAGAGAGAGAAGTTAGCTCAGAAGGTTATGGCAACTGTTTTGTTGAGATTCCAAAGGTGATATCTTGACAGAGTTTCTTGAAGAACACAGGATGAACATAGAGACATATTATGAAGAAGTATCAGAAAAACTGAAAACAGCATTGATGAGAAAAAGGCCTGGAAAACTGTATCTAATAATTGTTTTGTTTTGTTTTGTTTTAAACCACAATGCACTTGCTCCTTCTTAGAGGTTAGAAAAAGCTGTGTTATTAGAATTTGATTAGGAAACCTTATTTCATCCACCCTACATTCTGATCTTGCCACTTTCAACTCTTTTTGTTCCTGAAACAATATTTTAAAAGGATACAATTTGAGTCCCTTGAGGATGCCCAAACTGCCATTTTCATGTTATGTAAATCAAGGATGGTGAAACTCTTTAGGGAATGGTTGCAGATTGTACAGCATTCAGAACTGTGTAAATGGAGGATATGTTAAGAAACAATTTTGATACTTTTATTTAATAAAGGTTTCTATGGAGTCCTGATGTGGCGTTGTGAGACAATGCACTAGACCACTCTCTGAGACCTTATACAGGGTCATTATGAGTCAGAGCTGACTTGGGGCACTTAACAACTTGGGAGCATGGTGGTTCTATACTATCAGCACTGGACTGTGAACCATTCCCAGGAGGAAGATGAGGCTTTCTGCTTCTGGTAAAGAATTATAGTCTTGGAAACCCTATACAGGCTTGTTATGAGTCAGAATCAACTTTATGGTGCTTAACAATAACACAGCTTTCTATGATTTTGTAGCAATATTTTTTTACTTACCCTCATATGACATTCCTTAACACAGTGGGGTTGGTACTGTACCAACAAGTCAGTTCCAACTCTTAGAGACCTCATATATGGTTTCTGAGGCTATAAATCTTTACTGGAGCAGAAAGTCTCATCTTTCTCCCACTGAGCAGCTGGTAGATTCCAACTGCTGACCCTGTGGTTAGCAGCCCAACATGTAACCAGCATGCTACCAGGGCTGTTTCATAGAGCAGTAAGAGTTGCCAAAACCACATTCATTGGCTTTTTTTATACCAAGTTCCATTTTTTTTTTCCCCCAGAGGAGAAAACTAAGATTCTAAGACATCCAGGTAGTTGCTGAAAGTCACACAGCTTATAACTGGCAGGGCCAAGACTCACATTAGGTCTTATGATTCCAGGACCAGAGCAGTTTCTATTTTCCATGTGACAATTTCCTTTGTTATGTAATCCACCGATAATGATAGGGGGACCTCTTATCAGAGAGCCTGTGGAAGACATGTCTGTTACTGGGGATATGTGTTTTAACTAAACCATAGTGAAAGAATCTTCTAGTCATGGCTGGCTCATAGTTGCCTGCACTGACTTTTAGGGTTAAGATGAGAAGAGAGCAGTATTGGCAGAGAAGTGGAAGGATAATGAGGTGCATATTTTCTTTTGCATGGGAGACTTATAGCCAGCAGGCTTTTGCTTTTATAACACCTTGCTTTGATGGTTCTCCAACAAAATCAATTTTATGTATCTGGAGTGAATGGAATATACCATAAGACACCATGGCATTTGTAAACAAACCTGAAATGTGGTAAATAAATGGATATTTACTCATGGGTACTATGTTTAGATATTTCTGCACTTTGCCCTCTATTAAGTTAACTGTGAATCCAGCGTTCCCTCAACTACTAACATATTAACTCTGGCATGTCTGAACCTTTGTAATAGAGCCTTTAAAAAAAAATTTTTTTTTTTTATTAGTAGGGCTTCTACTTTCTGGTGTCATCCTAAAACCTCCACACCTGCCCCCACCTCTACTTGCAACTTTTAGTTCTGAACACGCCTATCTACTAGCTGATTGTGATTTGTGTTTATGATGCATTCCTAAATCCAGCATCCGTTTAAATGAGAGCCCTAGTTACAGAGACATATTGTACTTTTCTTCTTTCAGAAAGCAGCATTTGCTGCTTGCTGATGGCTTTCTGACTGATGCAGGGGGGCGAGGAAGGAGTGTTGGCTGGCGTTTGGGAGCAGATTTAGAGCCGGTTCTCATTGGAGGGGTTCGCTTTTCCGGAGCTGCCAGACACTGCAGGCTCAACTGAGGCGCGGAGGTGCAATTCAGGCTGGTGGAGCAGTGAAGGAAGGCAAGCAGGGACAGGCGGGTCTAGCGCGGCTCTGCAGCTGATCACACGCACCAGCACACACCACACTCCCGTCGTCCCTGTTCCGGTCTCTCATCCCCCAGCGAGGGCCAAGGAACTCGGAGCAGGAGTAGGGAATCGAGGAAAGAAGAGACAAAGGTTTCCCCCCCGGAGACAGGAAAATTTGGAGGGGCGCTAGTGTTTAACCTGAAAGTCTGGCCGGCAGTCCGAGGCTTGAACCCCATTCAACAGCGCTGCTGTAGCCTGGAAGGAGGGCACAGCTCCAGGGAACCCCGGAGTCCCGCGCCCAAGTCATTCTCTGTCGGCGTGCCTGAGTCTTCTGGCGGGGGTAGCTTAGTGCCTCCACGAAGAGTGCGGAGCTTAGGGAACCTGCATTAGTATCCATCGTGGTACACCAGGAAAAAGTGGGGGCGAGGAAAATAGCCAGGCTGCCGTTGCGGCTGCCGCACTCCGCCAACCTCCTCCAAACCTCTCCAGTTCGGTGAGTGACCCAGCAGCGGTCACCGCTGCGTCTCCGCGGTGCGCGGGGGCGGCCTGGGGGCTTTTGAGGGTCGATCCGAGGACCCTTGCGGCTCCCGCAGAAACTCGGCAGCCCGCGGACGCTAGGAGGACAGTCTCTGGAGTCCAGAGCAGGGGACTCTGAGCCTGGAGGGCTTGGAGAGGGGATTTTGCATCTGCTCACGGCAGACATGCCTTTGTGCCTGATTTTGACCAAAAGATAGGAGGGAGGCTCACCAGGGTGGGGGAAGCCATTAGCCATCTCCAGGGCCAGGAGAGCTGGGAGCGGTGCGGAGGGGGGAGGGTCTGGTCCAAGCAGGTAGTGCTGTCTTGGTAGCCTGGTGAGTTGGCAGGTGGGGTGAGAGTCTCTAGTCAGCAACAGTCCAATTTAGGGGTGTTGCAGAATTATCAGGATAAGCGAGGAAAGGCGAGAGGTGGTCCGGGATGCCGGTGGCAGGGGAACAGAAGGAAGCCTCGAAAAGCTTGTTGGCAAAATTGCGCTGGGATTTCTGATCCTTGCAACCCTCCTGCCTTGAGTGTAGGAGAAGACTTTTTTAAGACTCCACTGGGAAAGAAAGCCTCCTTCCCAAGGGAGAAGCAAAGGCTTCAGCAGGGGTCAAGAGACCGCAGCTACCTGTGGGGTGCGCCTCCACCCTCTCAGGCGCGCTGTTTTTATCCCCCTCCCTTTTGTCCCCCACCCCATCTTCTTATTGGTGCTGGTTTACAGCGCTGGACTCCTGCGCCTTCGCTTCGCCTTTGAATCTGGCTCGCCCCTCCGTATTATGTCTGCACTCAGAAGGAAATTTGGGGACGATTACCAAGTAGTGACCACCTCATCAAGCGGCTCAGGCTTGCAGCCCCAGGGTCCGGGTCAGGGCCCACAACAACAGCTTGTGCCCAAGAAGAAGCGGCAGCGGTTCGTGGACAAGAACGGCCGGTGCAATGTACAGCACGGTAACCTGGGCAGCGAGACTAGCCGATACCTCTCGGACCTCTTCACCACACTGGTGGACCTCAAGTGGCGTTGGAACCTCTTCATCTTCATCCTCACCTACACTGTGGCCTGGCTCTTCATGGCGTCCATGTGGTGGGTGATCGCCTACTCTCGGGGCGACCTGAACAAAGCCCACGCAGGCAACTACACGCCCTGCGTGGCTAATGTCTACAACTTCCCCTCTGCCTTCCTCTTCTTCATCGAGACCGAAGCTACGATCGGCTATGGCTACCGCTACATCACCGACAAATGCCCCGAGGGCATCATACTCTTCTTATTCCAGTCCATCTTGGGCTCCATCGTGGATGCATTTCTCATCGGCTGCATGTTCATCAAAATGTCCCAGCCCAAGAAGCGCGCGGAGACACTCATGTTCAGCGAGCACGCGGTGATCTCCATGAGGGATGGCAAACTCACGCTCATGTTCCGGGTGGGCAACCTGCGCAACAGCCACATGGTCTCTGCGCAAATCCGCTGCAAGCTGCTCAAAGTAAGTGCTTTCCTCTCCATCCCCACCTGGAGACTGTCACTCCCAGATCCCATCTAGAAATATACTCACCTGAGATCCACCCTGTCCTGAGACAACTGTTGCCACAGCTAAATCCTCCCTCCCCACCACACACACTTTTTTTCCCGGTGGAAGAATTGAATAAAGAGAAAACACATTTCGGTTCCTTTTCTATTCACTCTCCTGCTTTTGCTTCTATTACTTCAGGTGTGCAAGTCTCACATAGTAACACTTAAGGTGTAGTGTTGGCTCCTGGAGGCAAAGGAGTGCCACGTTTCCCTCCCTGCATTTGCTGCAAGTCAGTTTAGAGCACTTTTTTTTTTTTTTTAAGAGCACTTTTGTTTTGTTGTCAGAGCACTATTCCATTAAACTCCAGGTGCCAAATTAAGCAGTTTTTGTTTAGAAGATAGGTGTTGAGCTTGCCTCCACTTTCACATATGACTTTTCTCTTCCTTTCTTTTCACCTAATACTTTCAGCTGTTGTTGTTGTTAAGTGCCATGCAGTCGGTTCTGACCCATTGTGTATGCAGGAGTTCTGAGACAGTAAATCTTTGCAGTAAGTAGTTAAAATCATCGTCTTTCTCCCGTTGAGAGGGTGGTGGATTCGAACCACTGACCTAGCTGTTTACAGTTCAGGACTTATCCTACAACACCAATGCACTTGAACTTTTAATAACAGTAACTCTGTGTATGGTCATCTTTTAAGAGTACACAGATCCAGAAACAATTAACCTAATTCTTTTAAAGTTTTTGTTTTTACTATTTCCCTAGAGATATACTCTCTGTAAGTTTGAGTGCTTTACCTTTCCAGCCGCTTGTTAATTTTATTCTTGATAGACTGTTTTCATGAAGACTTTGTCAAGTACAGATTTCACTATGGCATCCATTAAAGGGATTGCTTTTACTATTAGCCGTTTAAATGCTAACACAAGTAGCAAATGGAGAGGTCATTAAAGCAAGGTTCATGTTGTCCTTAGAGGGCATCACAAGAACCAGGACAAGCTTTCCCTTATCACTCATACAATTAAAGTCAGGCATTAAAGCCCAGTTGATTTGTATGTCTTGTTTACAATTAATTTTTCTGAAGGATTTGCCATAGTTTTCAAAGGAGAAAAAGATGACCTCAAAATGCTAAAGATTTCTCTGAGATTGTTTAGAGAACTTATAGCCAGATTCAGAACTGAATATTCATAAAATGAAACATTTTATAAAAGTTCAAGTGGACATTTTTGTCTTTAAAATTTCAATTTCCACTATATATTGTTTTTCTCAGCTCCAGCAGATGTTGTAGTTAAAAAAAGTGAGCCAATGTGCTTTTTAAAAGTTTTGCTCTTGTGTAATTTTCATTATTCTTTTATAAAATTTTATCCTAATAACACATGACCATGTTTCTCAGTTGTGTATGAGAATTAAAGCGGGTTTCTTGGCCTGCCATTTCACATCATATACACATTTACTATATACTGTCAATGAGCTGAGTGTTGTATAACATAGTGAGAAATTATCATCCTGGTTTTTTATATGCATTAAATTCTGAATAAATGCTTTGGATAGATCATATTCTTTTAAAATTAACTCCAATGACCTGCATATTGTTTTTTATTTAAATTACCATCTAGTTTTACTAACCACTGTTTAAACTAAGTGGGTTGTTGAATTACCCTCAGCAGTTATTTTATAGTTGTTTTGCTTTTATTGCAATGGTGCTTGTTGGATGTCTCTGTTTCTATGAATTGACCAAAATATATCTTCCTTTAGGTAGGCTTGCCACACAGAGAGTAGCAATTTAGTTGTTAACATTGTGCAAGGCTATCTATCAAGGTATTCATGTTTATGTATCACCTAAACACTCTTATGAAGTCCTGGTGTGATGCTGTAGGGTAAACACTGGACAGCAAGTTCAGTTTGAACTGCAGGGTCCATGGTTCAAACACACCAGCCATTCCTCAGAAACCCTATACAGGGTTGCTATAAGTCAGAACCGACACCATGGCACTTAACAAAAACAGACACGCTTATAGAAGATATCCTTATTGAAAGGTAGTTTATAATATTGATCTTTATTGGAAACTAACAATTAAACTTTAAACACAAGAAATTAATTTTAAAAACATTTTTCTAGGTGACATATTAAGAAATGATTCTAGAATTTATCAAATTTTATTTTAGTAAAATCCAGAAATAATTAGAATTGTTCTACATATCAGTTGACATATACAAAGGTGCAGTGACTCTGAAGTACCCTATCGCTACACTGGTACAGGGCACTAATGACATTTATAGCCCGTGTGCCACATATACCATAAAGAATGTACTAATTTAAAAATAAAAGATTTATAAAGTTGAAAAACTTGGAACAAGGTGCTATATTAATACAAGGTGATAAAAACAATATTCAATTAAACTAATAAGCGTAATATTCCTATAAAGCACTCTACTAGGTTTACTAGGAAAATGTCAGTACTAGAGGTAAAAATGATTGGCATATGGAGTCAATTTATATTTAAACAAAATTATGGGGGAAATCTCTTCCTTTTTTATGAAGCAAGAGGTTTCATCAGTGGTTACCCTTCAGCTGGTAAGTAGTATAATTTATATGAAGTTGATTTTTCCTGTAGCCATGGTAATTGAAATGAATTTTCATACATTTTGTCATTTCCTTAGACTTCATTACAAAGGAGCCATGTTTTACTGGGGAGGTAATAGCATTCAGCAAAATTAGAAGGCAGATTTTCCTATAATAAGTTACTCTCATTTTCCTTTAGGAACTGAGATGAAGTGATCTAAAGCAGTCAACTATAATGCCTAAAGAGAATCTCTACGAAAGTTTTAAAAGTAAAAATAGTTCAATATTACTTCTTTGCCTTTTAAAGGTATAACTTAAATATAATTGCAGAAGTTCACAGTCTTATCCTTTAACTTCCTTTTGGACATGTTAAAAGTACGCTTTTGTAATTTTTTATAGGAAGAAAAGTGTTTAGAATTCTTAAGGGAACAAAAATACTATGCTTAGTGATATGAGCTTAATGGAATACTGATTGGAGCTGTAGGATAAGCACTGGGCTGCTAACTACAAGGTTGTAGTTCTCACCCACCAGCCATTCCAGAAACCCTATACAGGAGCCACTATGAGTCTAACTGACTTGACAGCATTTAGCAACAATATAGTATATATAATGAATAGTTTTTTCCTGTTACTTTATTTATTTTACTTAAAATTTTCTACTTCTGCTATCTTGTTTGCAGAATAAAACTTATTTTTCAGTATCATAAAAGAGCTTTTTTTTTTTTTTTAAGTGATTATAAAGCATGTTCCATTTTTTAAGTATTATAGATAGTAAAAACAAGGATATGACTTAGAAATCACTGCCATTAGGGCATTTTATGCCTCTTGCTTCCCTAACATTATGTGGAAGTTTTTTGTTTTTGTTCTTTTTTTAAACTTCTCTACCTGTTTTTGTTTTTAAGTTATGCTATCCACTTATATGAAAGCAAACAGTTTTTTCAACTGTACACCTGTCTTCCAACAATGAAACTACTAAAGTTTCTTTCAGTGTTTGAATACAGATACTCCAAATGTATACCTGGAGTAAGTGGTTCCTTTTCTTCTCTGAAAAGCAAATCAACAAACACAAATAAATAGACCTTAAATAAAACTCAGAGAATATGGTTTGAAGTATTGCTCTATAAATCTGTATTTTTATTGTTAATATAGCTATATGAAGCTTAAAAAGGAATCTTTCTCTTTTCTCCTCTTATGTCCACATTCATTTTTTACTAGTACTTTTTAGCTTAGTTTGATTGTCTTCTTTTATTATTATTTAGAGAATAGGTACTAAACAACTTGGCTTTGCTAGATTAATAAGTCATCTAGTTGAGAAACTGCCTATATTAAAGAATTGATGATAATGGATAAAATGCTGGGCCCTTTAATTCAATGTTTGGTCTAAAGGATTTGGAAATCTCATCCCATTTTTAAAATCTAAAATTAATTGTTGACTGCCTTAGAAATAAGACTTGTTAGGGAAATAATTACATAGTTTTCCTTGATACATTATAGAGTTAAATAATTCATCCAGATGCCTACTTAAACACACACACATTCGTATATTACTGACAGTTTTTCTTTTTTTAAAACAAATTCGTAATCTATTTCCTTTTCAATAATTAAGTTTCTGAAAAAATAAAATCAGTTACTGGTTGCTGTTGCATCCAGATTGTAAAACAAAAATATAAGAATTTTTTTTTTGCTAATGCGAGCACAAACATTTTTTCATTCATTGCAAATAGTCTTCCTCTTACTTTAAAGAAAATCGGCTATGCCACCCTTAATTTTTACTTGTTGAAAATTAACCATATGTATCGTCCTTCTTCTAGCATCACACATTATTTTTGTGTTCTCCTTTTCAGTCTCCATTTACATGGATATTGAAAATGGGGTGGGTGCTTTCTGGTTCCCCATACAAGTGTGAGTACATGTGCAGCTACTACAAAACCACTGAAGTCTTCATCCTTTTCACATGTCCTAACATTTTACTCATCTTTTCATCACAAGGATTTCTGGATCACATGATTCCTGGATTTTGATTTTTCTCATAAGTTTATTTGCTGTCTTATCTTACACATAAATGTGATTATATTTTTTGTTCTGTGACTTTATTTTGAATGACTGATCATTGTAATTTTGACCAATTTGCATTTAGTATTTAGTATTCAAATCTTGAGACAATTAGTTGGTCTTTCATAAAATTATATCCACAAATTATATATGTTAAAGAATTATTCTTTTGAACATCATCCAACCTATTATTAAAAGTGTTCAAGAGGTCTCATACTAGATAGCTCAGAATCCACAAAGACTAGGTCCCTTATTGGTTGTGGGTTTTTAGGTGAGTTTGTTATGCCTTTTAAAATTAGTACAGTTCCTATGTAGTCTAGCTTTACTTTGTCTGATTCAAGTATAATTAAAAGTATAGAACTTG